TCTTTTTCTTAAGGTAGAAGCTGTGGTTATTGACTTGAGAACATCCTTTTTTTCTAATACAGATGTTTAAGGCTATGAGTTTGCATTTAAGCACTGTACATTTTGATAGGCTATGCCTCAGGTTTCCTTCAGTTGAAAAGATCTTGCAGTTTCTCTTGTGATTTTTCTTTGATAAATTGGATATTTTGAATTTCTCTGAAAATTTCCAAATGTTAAGAGTTTTCAAAATAATTCTTTCTTTTAATTTTGAGTTTAATTCTGTTTTGGTTAAACAACTCACTATGTATGATTTCAGTCCTTTTCAGTTTATCAAGGTATGTTTTATAATCCAAAAGTATAGCCAGAGATAGGGAGAGATATGATGGAATATTAAGGCAAAAATGCCACAGGCTCCCCACTGGGCTTATCAGAAGTAGGATAGTTTTCCTGGCATAAACACTTATATTGTTAGGTGAGTGGTCAGTGTCCATGGTCCTTAAATAGTTGGTTTTGGCAATTTTGTTGTTTTTATCATTGATTTAAAATTCTGCCCCAAGGTACTCTCCATGATAGAATGGCTTATATTGGGGCCTATAAATAATTACATGTGAAAAATGTGGTGCAATTAGGACTAAACTTTATACTCTAGATTTAAAATGTACCAGGAGTTTAAGGATGTGTTTGTGTTCAAAGTCATGAGGCTGATTTCGCAGGAGGATGAGACCTTCGCACAGTATCAGCATGATATTGAAAGCATGTGCTTAGAGAACTGCAGAGGGCATTCTTGGTCCAGGGGATTGCATTAACAAGCCATTCTGTCTGGAATAATGTGTCTTAGAAGTCAATCAGCAACCAGGCTGGTTAATGTGAAATTTCTGTTTGGTGGAGCAGAGTGAGGTTAAAAAGATATTTTAGTAGAAAAGAATGTATTTGTTCTATAGAGGGTGTTGAAGGCCTGACTATGGAAAACAATCAGTTGCTTTTGTGACTTACTGTGCAGAAAGCCATCATGAGGAAAATGAGGTCTCAGATTGTTCTGGCAACTGTTGGCAAGGTCAACCTAAGAGGGGACAGAATGGTGCTGTAAGAAGACCACGTGCTCTCGCAGTGTGCTGGATGTGGGCCTCAGGGGCAGCAGGAAGTGGTAGGAGGCCAAAATGTGTGGAAAATGCCTTGGAATCTTGTCTTGGCACAATCATTTGATGACAGGGATGGTATTTTTGAGTTGCAGCTTTCTAAGCTGTAAAATAGGAATAATCCCTCTCTGGCTACCTCACATGGCTGTGATGACTGTGATACTGGAAAGAGAGAAAAACAAATTTGAGCACTACAGAGAGAATAATACATGGTGGTACATGATGATGGTTATCAGTATGGAATGGAGGTGCAATATATTTGAAGATAACCCATTGGATAATAGTTTGAGAGACTGAAAAGGGAGTATTTGGAAAAATGATTTGAGCATCATGACTAAAGAAAGAACATGTGAAGACTGAGTTGAAGATGTGGAAGTGGAATGTCATAAATGCAGTTACTGTATTTACAGGGATTTGCTTCATATTCTCTTTTTTAAATTCCAGATAATTTGAAATGATAGATATGAAGGCTTTATACTTTTTACAGATAATACAATATTTAACAATTTGTTTCATTCTAAAAATGATTTAAGGACTAACTCTCATACTCTCATAGACAAAAAAATACTGTCTTCTAAGGATTTCACTGATTGTATTTTTTAAACATCTTCTTAAAAATATACCTGTCATGTTAGGCTGCAGACCATCTTTAACTGACTCTAGAATGATCTTTTTAAAATATGTTTGTACTTGTCTCTTCCTGATTGTCTTATGGTCCCTTTACTGGATAGTTCTGTAGGAGATGTCACATAACTTTGGAATTAGTGCAACACTGACTAAGACAATAAAATATCTTTTCATCTTAATTCCAGACAAATTTTTACTGGGATTTCCTGGAATCTCATTAAATTACTAGAATATGAAGGTGACTTGAAACAGTAATCAGTGATATCAAGTTCTGAGATGATTATTTCCTGAAAAAATCAATTAAGGAAGCTTATTTTCTGGTTTTCATTATTAACATCTTATCAAATGTGGAAAGTATTAGTCACTATAATGCTATTAGAGAAATTTGAGGATGTACACTCTGAATGTGGTCTACTTGTATTCAAATTCTTGCTTTGCCACTCAATGTTTCAGAATATTCATTTGTAAAAAACACAAGGTAATTTCAAAGAATTTTTAAAAAGGTAAATGAGAATACCAATAAAGGTGTTTTTTTAAAAAATATTTTAAGGTTAAATGGGAATACAAAATGTTCAAAAATATAAGGTGCCCAAGAACTGAGTAAATATTTGGTAAGGAATCAATTAATGAATGAATGAATTTGCTCTACTTTTTAAGTTTGGTATCATAGGATTAGAAAATTTACCTTCAACATTCATCTTTAACATGTACTCTTTTTTAATGGTGAGTCCAACTATATCATGATTTCATTTTTCATTTTTAAAACCTTATATATGTGTTTATTTACAAGGTTCTATCTAAAGCATAGATTAATTTAACTTTTAATTTTTAATTAAAGCAATCTAGTATTCATACCCAAAGTATTTCCCTCTAATTGGCAAAACCTAGAGTGAATTACAGTAATTGCTAGTGAATTGCTTTTTATGTCATTTTTGAACAGTAATGAAAATATGAAAATAAAAACACACTAAATTTTATAACCTCCATGACTGCTTTCCTTTGAAGAAGTCACACTGCTCAAAAATAGTTCTGGTAGCTCCCTTTTAAAATTGCTTTTAGATCTAATTTACTATTAGAAAAGAAATTCAGCCTTAGTACTTCACACTGATAGAACAGTATCATTTGATATGATACCTCTTCCTGCTCTTTTCTGTTTGGTTTTCTATTGCCTTCAGCCATCCACTCATCCACTTCCCCTTTCCTTCCCTGTGTTTTATCTGAGACCTGGCCTTCTTCCACTTAGGTGGCTAAGTGATGCTGGGTAAGCTTGTTCTTTCGTCTGAATTGTCTACTAACTCTAAGTGCCTTAAGAGGCTGTAATTGAGTGAAGCACTGAGACATTAAATAGCTGAACTGAAATTGAAGATTCTCAGATCTTCTGTACGAAAGGAAAAAAGGACTTATAAAGATAGTTATGCAAACAAATTCACATATTATGGTGTGTTTTTGTTCTTGCTGTCAGGTTATGTGAGGCCAATGCACAGTTTCCAATAAACAATTATAATTTTTTTTTACTTAAAAAATGTATAAATATTTTGTTCACCACTCAGCATTATTGAGGCCTTCTTAAGTGCTTAGTTCTTTAGAGAGAGGTAATAACAATTGAAGACAAAGTCATGGTGCCTGTTCTCAAGCAATTCACTTTGCAGTGCAAGGTTCAGCAAAATAGAAGACTATAGGAAGAGATATGGGAGGATCAGAGAAGATGTGATTAGTTCTGCCTGTGGTGGAGTGGGTCCAGTCATGTCTGGGAGAACTTTGTGGAATATGTGATATTTGGATTTCAGAATGTATTTCCCAAATAGGAGAAAAAAGATCAAAGGATGAGGATATTTGTAAAAGAGCTTGTGCTGTTGTACTCAGTAGAGTTCAGGTATGTAGGAGATTGGCAAGATGGGATATTCTTGTTCTTCAAAGATCTAGGAAAAATACCTTACATAAAGAGCCAAGAACTTTTGAAGGAACACACTCTATTTGTTCAAAGAGTGGCTGTGCAGGAAATTTCAAGAAATTGTTTGAGAAGTTGCTTTCAGTTTCCTGTTCAAGTGGTCAAGCATGCCATTTAAATATGGACTTGAATTAGGGTACAAAACCTTACCAGTTGGCCAAATTTGGGCAGACACTCACAAGAAAAAGTACAGGAATTGCATTACTTTAATATTTTAAAATCTACAAACAAAACATAGTGCTTTTATTAGTGAATATTTTCCTACTAACTTGTTTTCATACATACCTGATGGAAATAAATAGTGATTCTGTAAAGTATAGCTCAATTTTAATTTTATGCTAGGGACTTTCTGCCCATATCTAATTTCTTATCCATTTGGGAACAAGATTCTAGAATAGTTAATGGATTTTGTCATTGTTTTGGCACATATATGATTACTTAACCTTCTGCTAATAGCATACTACTACTAATAGCATAATAAATCCTAAGGATCACAATAATCAACTAACACAGCTGATGCTCATAAGTACTGAAATGGACTCACTATAAAGTTTAGAAATTGTTTTGACCAGTTTCAGAACCATTACAAACATTGCAATCTCAAAGAAAATATTTTGAAAGACATTACTCGTCTTTTGGTAAAATGTCTGTCATGTTGATATTAGTTTAATAAAAGAAATAGAAAAAACTATAGCAGTTTGAAGAAAATGAAGACAAAAAAGAAAAAGCTGTAAATCTACCATCTAAGTAAACTCTTATATTTTTGTTTATTCCTTTCTAATATTTTTAAAATCTGAATTTGTTTCAATTATTGTTATCGCAGCCTCTGTATACATAAACACATAGAGCATGTGTGTGTGTGTGTATGTATGTCTGTGTATGTAAGATTAAGTAGCAGGATTCACTAAGGTGTTTCTCAGGTTTTTTTTGCACAGATGTTCTAATGGTAAAAGCAATTAAATGCATCCCAAGATCTTAGCTGAAAGTGTTTGTGGCAAGAAACCAGAAAACTTATTGGAAATCTTAGAATTTATATTTTAAAATGGTATGTTCTTTTAATTAGGAAAATATTTAAATTCCATACCTACCAAATTCATTAACTTTCCTTGGTGAACATTACAGTAAATTAGATGGTGCCAAAAGATGTGTGACATGTGAATTGTATTTCATTTTTATACATTGGGTCTGCTACTATACCCCAAGTACTGTGAGAAAAAATACAATTGACAAGCAATAAGAAATCTCAAAATAGTCTTACAATTGAAACCATAAAATATATTTTTTTCTCATCACTTATTTTTTTTTTACAGAAATGTTTAAATGTTCAGTAAATCGGAGGAAAAAAACATGGATTTTTAGCAACTGAAGATCAAATTAAGGTAATTATTAGATTGTTGTTGCCAATTGTTAGTAACTTCAAATTGTATTTAATATACTTATATTTAAGTTAATATATGCTTTTATGAGTATCACAAGGAAATTCAACATACTGTTTGAGTTACTAAAATGGAATTTTATATACTTACATTTTTGTGAACAAATATGTAAATAATATAGTTCAAAGTATTTGCTGTTGAAAGTATACTCCAGCTATATGAAAAATAAATTGACTACTAAAAATAAATAATTTTAGTAGCTCTCTACCTATTTCAAAAGGCATATTGCTATATTACTGTCTTAATATGGAATAACTTTTCAAAACATTTTAAATTGGTATATGTACAACAATACAATTTATTAATGTCGTCATTTAATTGTTCCATCTGTTATCAATTACATATCCATGATGGTGAATATTAGGAAATAAAATGTATTCATTTTATAGTACCAACCTGTTAGCAAATTATTTTCAAAGTAATATTTTCATTTATCATAAACATGCTTATGCATAGAAGATATAAGACTTCAAGCCGTATAACCCTAGGCCAGTACATATTTTTCAATCTTTAGCAAATTATTTGAAGATAAAACAGGCCTTTGTATTAATCAATCAACAATGAAATTGGAATTTCCTTTCTTCTTGAAGTTACTGAAGTTTATTTGAAGTGATTTTGTAATATCTAGAATGTAAATTATTATAACTTTACAGCTTAAAATTATAAATATCAACTTTCTTAATATTTTTATTCATATTAAAATAATTGATGTTCATTTAATTTTGAATTGTTGATATAATTATGTTTTAGAAATTGTTATACTTCTACTTTCACAAATTCTGTATTTTTACCTTGAGTACTGGGTGATTTAAGACTAAAAACATTGCACTTACCTTTGTAGGCACTAAATTTTCCAGTTGATATTACTTCATTTAGATATTTTTAATTTAATTTCTTTGTCACAGTGTTGTCCAAACCTTCATTCACATATGGAAACAATATTATTCCAATTTTCCATATATCTATTATGATGTAATGTATTTTATTTGCATTTACTAGCTTATCTGTATATTAGCACGTAAATTTGCAGACATTCCTTTATTAACTTGAATATGAAATGGATCTTTTGGTAAAATAAAGGATCAAAAAAAGACTGATTTCAGTCATCCAAGACTTAGGTGTACTTACTTGGAGAAATATTGGTTGGGGAGATGAAGCTCTATAGAAATGATTGTATACATTTTGAGAGTTAATGACAAACTGCTAAGGAAACAAAGGTGGGAGCAGGTCAATTTTACTGGAGACTTGAAACCTTCATAGAAGTTGTGAAAGTCAGGGAGGGTTTGAGGCTCGGGAGGTGAGTTCATGCATTCCAGGACAGCAGACTAGCTTGTGAAAGGGTGCATATAGGAGCGAGGGTTGGCCATTCAATAATTAATTTTTCCAGTATGGCTGAAAGATTGCACATGTGATAGGATAATGTTAGGAAATGAGTCTGGAAAAGTAGGTTTGGAACAGCCCATGAAATATGTTTGTCATACTAAAGCTTAATTTTCCAGGATGGATGCCTCTACAGTGCTTAAGGGTATCCAAAGGTTGTGAGAAGAAAATTTCAGAACGTGCCTGATATATATTTTCCATTAAGAAATATAAGAAATAATTCATCTTATGGTTTTTAATATAATGACCACTATATGCCCCAAAATATGAAGTTTCTGGAGGAATCATAGGATTTTTTACAGTGTTAAATGATTGACAATGTTTCCTCCCTTATTTTTTGATTGAGATATAATTTATATACTATAAATTTCTCCAAAATGGACAATTGAGTGGTTTTGAGTATATTCACAGAGTTCTATAACTATCACCACTATCTAACACAGAACATTTTCATCACTCCTAAAAGAAACCTTGTACCCATGAGTTTTTCTCTGCTCCCCTCTCGCCCATTCCCTGGCACCTACTAATATAGTTCTGCCTTTATGTATGCACCATTTAAATGGGATCTTACAATAGGTGGTCTTTTGTACCTGCCCTTTTCATTTCACATATTTTCAAGTTTCAGCTTTGTGTGAATGAGGACTTAATTTCTTTTTGCATCTGAATAATATTTCATTATATGGATATGTTACATTTTGCTTATCAGTTCATTAACTGATGGACACTGAGTTTTTAATACTGACTACTATGGATAATGCTGCTATTATATTCATACAGAAGTTTTGTGTAGACACAGGTATTCAATTCTCTCAGATTTTTTCTTGGGGTGGAAGTGTTGGGTCAAATGGTTCTTTCTGAGGAACTTCTAAACTGCTTTCCAAAAAGGCTGGCTGCACCATTTACATTCCCACTAGAAAGGTCCGAGCGTTCCAGTCTCACCATATCTTTGCCAAATCTGTTATTATTTTTATTAGAACCAGTCTAATGGATGTCAAGTGGTATTTTATTGGATTTTGATGGCAGTATTTGTTTTTAAGAGTATTTTAGTATACTGATGTTACATGTGTTTGGATAAGTGCATTAATGGAATTTTTTTTGACTAGACTAGTCCTCATCTTTAGACATCTGACTTTATGAAATGTTAAATAACAATTACAAAATGAAGATTATTTGATTAATAAATGCCCAAGTCAACAATGAAAAGATGGCAGAGCTGACATTTTACCTTCTCCTATTACAGTATATTTTTCAGTTTCATTATATGATATAAACACTCATGATCTCACATTTATTACGGATAGCTTAAAACTTTAATCAGGAAGACTATGAAGCAGGGATTTGTCTCATATATCATAAGTGATTAAACTTGTCTTAAGAGCGTATTTTGTCTTTAGGCTTAAGTTAACGACAGTACACTGCAACATGAATAGCAAGATTTTTTAATAATGTAACATCTGGAACACAAATACAAACCTTTCTGCATTTTTCAGCAATGTTTAAAGTCATGTTCATCTAGCCACTGACGGAATTTCATGAAACTTTATGGTAATTGTTTAGAAGCCTTATTAGAGTCATTGGAGACACCTTAAATTTCCTGCTATGGTAAAAATGGTTGAAATCACACAAGAAAAATTGTATGGAACAAACAAAAATACATTATTATGTCAGCAAATACTGTTGGAAGATGACATTAAAAACATTGCTTTAGTCAGAAAAAAATAAGTATTAGAAGAAATTATGTAGTCTGAGAGATCCACTTTACATTTAGAAAAAACATGTATTTCTGACATGTCAGTTAGGTTATTTTTAAAATCAGGTTTACTGATGTATAATGTATGTATGTTGCACTCTTTTTAATGGACAATTCCATTGTGACAAACACATAAAGTTGTGTAAGTACCACCAAAATCAACATATAGAGCATATCTATTGCTCCCAGAAGTCCTCTTGTGCCCCTTTGTAGTCAACCTTTGGAGCTTTTGATTATACTTTAGTAATAAAATACAAAACAAAAACAAGACAAAAACCCCAAAACCCACCTGAAAGGAAGCAGAGTGAAGAGGTCAAGTTTTGAAGGCAGACTGTTTGTGACCTTGGGGATGTTATTTATCTTCCTTATGCTTCAGTTTCCTCATCTAATATGAGGTTAACAAAATTACCTACCACATATCATTTACAATAGAACTAGGCATACCTAAGCCCTTACAAATACTAAGTCTTTGTAAAACAAACAAATGTTTTGGGCCTCAAAAGAAAGACAGACATACTGGAGAAGATATATTTTCCACAGTAAATGACCTCTTTGAATGGATTTAATCACAAAGTAACACGTCAAAAATTTCAAAATAATAAAGCTTATTCAGGAAAATAACTCTCACAGAAGTTTTGCTTATTGGTTTCATTCTTCCAATTCTTTAGCATAAATTCTTAGAGGGATCCTGGAATTTTCTTTGGCACACATTGCAGTCTGTCAGCACATACCATTTACTTGTGAGCACCTCTTCACTGCTACCTTGGTCCAAATGAAATCCCCTCCTTCCTGGTAATTACAGCCTCCTGTTTCCTTGCCCTGCTTTCACTCTAAGGCTCAGAGTCCAGTTCAATCTTTAACCTTCTCTGCATTCCAGCTGCCCTGGCTTTGTTGTCATGTGCCTATCACACAAAGCCACTCTACCTAGGAGCCTTAGCCTGTTGGTCTCCATCTCAGTGACAGTCTCCCTAGTTACCCCCTTGGTTTATTTCCTGGGCTCCAAATACCCTGTTCTTATGGCAGCCTTCCCTGTACATCCTTTTTAAAAAATGAAAGTGCCTGGGAGCATCTTCTGTCCTCCTGTCCCCCTATCTCCAGATCACATATTACCACATTACACACAGTTTTATTAATTGTCTTTTCACATTAGTTAATATATTCTAAATAGCTTGTCTTTATAGCACCCTTTTAATTTCTATTTTGTCTAATATTGTACTACTGCCCTTGTTCATGGGTGTGGATATTAGAAAGATAATTCTGAAGCTGGCATGTATGACTGTGACTAGTGGCAGGACAGGAAATACTGGCAATAACTCAGGTAAAGTATAATGAAGGTCTGCTTTAAGATAAGAATACTGGGGATTGGGTGGTACTAACATCTGACACTATTTAGGAGGTAAAATTGACAGGTCTTAGTGACTGACTAAATTTGAGTAGTGAGAATGGAAGTCTCAGTAGGACAAATCTCAAAACTTGAAACTGGTAACCTGATGGCTGGTAGTATCATTTCCTGACCTGTAAAGAGCAGGGTTCTTTGTGTGTGTTTTTGTATGAAAACAATAAGTAATATTTTTACAGAAATAATGTATTTAGCAGAAACAACTCTAGAGCTAGATGTTAATTTTTACCTCTGTGTAGGCATGATTCCCTACAAATATAACACCTGAATTTGAATGTCAGTAGTTGTCTGATTCCTTTACCCATTTGTTTATAGAAACTTAAGAAAGTTTTGGTTTGCTATGAAATTACATTTTCTAATTAATTTCAAAACCACAGTCAGAAAGTGCAGGATGTAAAAACTGGCCATAGACAG